GGTAGCAGGATTGTCGTTTCTAGCTACAAATATATTAAGCTCTTTTTAATGTGCAAAGAACATTTAAGTGTCATGTGCAGCCGATTAATCCACATTATACTTAATGACGCCAACCTAGATGGCCGAGGTGGCTAAGAGCGTATACCGACTCATCGCTTCGGTCCACAGAGTCGCGGGTTCGAGTCCCGCCTTGGCCATGGTTGTTTGTCCATTGTCTCTCATGTATGTTGTCGCAGAGGACCTCGCGTTCTGCTGATCCCAGATCAGAGGATCCCGTAAGTGTGTTGGTGTCTAGTGTACGATTGAATATGCGTCCCATCGGGACGTAAAGTGTAACCGGCTGTGTAAAGCCCGTGGGAACCAAAAGATTTAATGGCATTTCTAACCGTGTATGGACAAACAGGTGTTGCGCGTGGGGCTCGGGCAGGGCTGGGAGGTGCGGCGAGAGGTCAAGCAGTGGGGCTGGGCGAGGGCCGAGCGAGGGAGCGGAGCGGCCGATTGCCGGGGCCTGGGGTCAATGGCGCGCGGCGGGCCCTTCCTGCTCCCGCTCCAACTCGTGCGTCGCGGCGCCTAGAGATTTCAACTGTTTTGTCTTCCTCTTCCGGGGCTCCAGGCGCGAGCACCGCACATAAGATGGGGAAGACAAATGGTGCTCGTTATTCTTGAAATGTACGCGGTCGCACTCCGTCAAGGTTCTATGTTGAAATTGTGTTGATTTTTTTCCCTTTAAGTGCTTGTGGTCAATATATACTACATAAAGGCGATGTTTGAATACCACTTTTAACGATTTTGAAACGTTCCTGATTAGTTGAGTGCGCTAAATTAACATTGTTAAGATAATAATAAATTTCATGCGTTTTTGTTGCGTACAACAGAAAAAAGTTAGCATCCATGAGTACAGTTTTTTTGGTGTTCCTCCCTGAAGTCATAAAAACAGGTTTTACAGGTATCTTATGTTTCCGCAATAAATTTAGTATATCTGTCATAATTTCTGATCACTTTAAATGTTGGTGTAATATTTACACTATCGCTGAAGTCATATCGAGAAGAATGACATACACACCGGTTAAATGAATATTTTTTAACTAATTGTACCATTTACTCAGGTCAACGTTGAAACATCAACGGAAATAAAACGATATGTGGTTTAGTATGTAACACACCCTGATACCAAATATGTACTTCGCATTTTTCTAGCACGTGTCATTTTTCTGATAAGATGGTTTTAATATTAAGAATATACGAATTATCCACCAAAGTAAGGGCTCACCTAGTCAATAATTACATATCCTCAGAAAATAAAATATGTGAGATCTATAAAGTGTCACGCCCAGATTCCAAACTTGTGCTTAGATTTTCTCTAACACGAATAATCTCTCAGATAGAACGATTTTCATGTGGTGACGGTGCCAATCCCCAAGGCAAAACAGTTCCTTGAGGAACTGCTTTGTCTGGAGATGAAATGACCTTTTGACCAGCGTATCTCAAAACAGATAAAAAGGAGACAGAAACACACGAGTCTTCTGAGCGTGGAATACAAAGTGTTCTCAAAGTTCCTCTGTTGATCCCAATATGATATTTCTCCCTCTTCTTCATACAAAGCTAGGTTTATTTGTTTAGTGAAGACAATGGGTAAGGCAAACTATGGACCATTCCAGTATCCTTGCGAAAAATTCACAAACATCACTGCAGGAAAAATATAGGAAGGAACCATCTACTATAAATACACCGATTAAGTCTTATTTCCATTAATTTCCAACCACCATATGTTTTTATTATTTTTCATCCATTTAGTATTCATTAATAATACGTTTTATTAACGTGCTTTATCAGGCAAATTAACATATTTTACAGCTAGGTGATTTAGGTTGGCCCATAACTACTTTCTGCCTTTCAAATTACAGGGTAGGTACTGATTTTTATAATATTAGTAATATTATTTGAATGAATGAAAACCAGAACGGTAGAAGTGACATTTTATAAATTCTGAGAAATCTCTTTATTTAAGAAAATATTACTGTACGTGATGCTTTGTTTCATCACGAAAACCACAGGTATTCAATTGTTCGCTAAAACCACGAATATACATTTCCAAAATATAGTATATAAAATACACACGTATTTTAATACGTGTGTATTTTAAGCTATATTTAGGCTATATTTTATATTATACTCACGTATAATAATAATAATAATAATAATAATAATAATAATAATAATAATAATAATATAAAAACTGACTGATTCATGAAACATTAAATTACCGTAAGAAATAGAAACTTCTGTAATCTAACACCGCACTGACTGTTTGTTCAATGAAGACCACACTGCACTGGCACTTCACAGCACTTCACTTCACTATGACCCTTAAATCACTTTCTTTATTATTTTGCTTCTCTGCATTGCACGACACCTCATTTTACAATATATCACTTATGCATCTCTCTAATTAATTTCCTGAGTCATGCGAAGCGGCGGAAATGGAGACGTTTACCTCTGACCAGTGGTGTAATATACATGTCATTTACTTTGTTTTGGTGCAATGCCAATATTGCAGTACCCCTTCACCTGGCCGTCACGATCTCTCGGCCTAACGCCCCTGGATTTCTTCTGCGACTACGTCAAGGACCGTGTATATACGTCCCCGCCGGGAGTCTCGTGGCTACACGTGGCTGTGGCATCCTGGCTGCGAAAATGTTGGGCTACTGCGACGCAGCCCCTTTTCCCTTGCTATGTCCTTTAAAAATTGTATTTGCAGAAGAAATAAAAGGGATGGTGGTTTCATTTCAGGTCCTTCTGAGTTATCACTCCCGCTTTCTCTGCCGTGAGGTTGTCTCTGTGTAATTATTTCCAAACGGAAGACGTTGTACTATTGGGCAAATATTGTTTTGTCTCCAACTACCCACATGCGGTAGGCGATGATGAGTAAAATTCTTCGTGTTACTCGAAAACCAACTGGTCTAAAGATACAATATTGTTGGTAAACTTCTTTCTGGGTTGTTAACTGTCTCTTTGCAGGTGTGTTGGTATATTCTACACATGTTTTTTGTTTAAAACCAGATAACTAATGAGAATGTGATAGGTTTGCATGCAACATAAAAGAACCATCTACATTTACACGTTTAACTTTAAAAATTATACTATCAACATATTTAACTATAATATCAAGTTAAAGAGGTGGATCCATTTATCACACAAAAACTTGAATTTTTGAAACTCTTTATCTTTTAACCTTCTATATATAACAAATTTATACCTATACTTTTCTGTGAGTTTTAATGGTCTTTTAATTCAGATGAAATTAATTAAATAATTTAAAATTAACTTTTTTGGCGTGGAGCTGAATTTTTTACTACATTTTAAGCACTATATTGAAGTTTTATTTAATCAAATAACTTTTGTTAGCCATGATTAATTTTTTTTCTTGGTGTGTTATTATTAAAATTTACTATTCATTTTCAATAACATTTGAAATGGATAGTGACCTTTGACCTGTACTGTAATTCACATATTATTTTTCAGTTGTTTGTTCATGTATGTTTTCGTGGCATACACTATAATACTTTTCGGATATACTGGTTTAGTTTCATTTATCGAACGTTTGCGGAAAATTAAATAGCTTTGTCGATTTAGAGTTAATACGTGGGAAACGATATTAATGTTTGTTTTCTTTTCCTATATATCAAATTATAAATTGTAATTCAATACAAAAGAAACGTATATTGTGAAATAAATCTTGAAGTCGAATACCTTGCAAATAAAGCTGAACGATTAGCGAGTGGCCGTCAGCGCTAGAACATCTTACCTCAAGAGCGCACTTGTGGCTGGAACAACCCAGTAGCAACACATTGGTCGCGCAGCACCTGGGTTATAATGGGATTGAAATTGCATGAAGAACGGCGGCGCCCGGCCTAGCCAGGGCTTCACTCTCTCATGAATAATGCCTTCTTGCTGCCTCGCGGCTTCGCGTCGACAGGCCTGGGGTTACCATCCCGAGTAAGCCATCCATAACACGCAATGGCTATCCCTGATTAGAGCCGTGCTTCATGTAAACTATTGGAGCTCATGTTATGGCTCCCCGAGTGGGTTGCTCGATTGCCAATTTAATTAGTTTCCATTAAATTATGCAATATCTCGGACCTGAGCCGCGGACTTGATTCAGTGTGCCCAGAAGCTGCTACTTACGTTCGGATGACGGTAATCTGCAGAATGGTTGTTTTCTCCAAATGTTACGCAAGTGTATTGCCCTACAAGCCTCTCAAAGCGGAAATGCAAATTTAGAATTTGTAATAGCTACATATATTCTCTGGCGGATGTAGGAAGAGTGGAGTGGTTACAGTCAAACTAATAAAATAGCTTGTCTAACTACTAAAATAATATTCATCTTATTTAAGGATACAGTAATACAAGTTGATTTTAAAATCTTCATAAATATACAGTTTTAAGCTTTGTGTTGAAGAATGCAAGAGCTATTTTTTGTGGTTTGTATACATTTTCTCTCTCGCTTGACAAAGCTTGTGCCAAGTTTTAGAATTTACGAGAACTATTAATACTTACAATGAAGGATCAGAATTGAAAGAGACATGTTGCTATTCAGAGAAATAACCACATATAAAATACAGGAGATTTCCTGCATATTTATTAATATTAAAAAGACAGGTAGTTGTCAAAGCGAAGAATATACACGTAGAATCTCGACGAAAAAGTCAGCAAATATTGAGTTAGTAAATAGATTACAAATAATTTGCCTTTTCTAGTGTACGGTTTCAGAAATTGAAAAATACACGTATAAAATATTTTTTAATAATTATTGATAAATATTATTAAAATTAAATAAAAATTTGTAAAGTTCACAAGAGATGGTGCTTCACCATATCTTTTTTTTCAGAATCTTCAACGCTATTTGTTGCAACACATCGTTGTTACAATGAAGCAATATACACTCAGCCCAGTCGAATGTGCTGATCTTATAACGCATTCAAAATTAATAACATAAAATAATGTCAGTATTATCACTAGGAGCTATTGAAAGAAATGTTAATAAATGTGTAGAAGATGCAAGTGCTATATGGTAAGTAGTATATTCGTAAACAATCATGTTGAAAAAGGAAGCATAATTTTACAGCCATCAATTGTTTCAATATTTAACCATTTAATTGTCCCATCATAATTCTCTACATTTCTAGAACTACTCATTTTTCAGAAAGCTCATCTTCCTTTCATGAACGTACCCAGTACACGGACATCAGCCCCAAAATGAATCTTTTCAGAACTTCAAATAAGGATAAGACAGGATCAGTTTCTGTACCTGATGCCATCCAGAAACTTCGTGACATAGAACTACTTCTTCAGAAGAAACAAGACTTTTTAGAAACAAAGATTAAAAAGGAAGACAATTTAGCAAGGCGACATGCGAAAACCAATAAAACGTTGGCCTTGCAAGCGCTACGAAGAAAGAAGCGCTACGAGACCTATCTACAACAAGTAGACGGAACTCTGACTACCGTAGAAATGCAAAGAGAAACCTTGGAAGGGGCACACACCGATAAACTCGTCTTAGAGTCCATGAAAGTAGCTTCGCAGGCGCTGAAAACTGCGAATAAAAAGTTGAATGTCGACGAAGTGCACAACGTCATGGACGACCTCGCAGAGGAAAGAGACAAAGCGCTAGAAGTTTCTGAAGCCATCTCCAAACCCGTCGGCTTTGGATTCGACGACATCGACGAGGATGATTTGCTGAAGGAGTTGGAAGAGATGGAGCAGGAAGAGGTGGACCAGCAACTGCTGAATGTCGAGTTGCCGTCCACGTCCCAAGATGTCCCGGCTTCGACTTCCAAGCGAAAGGAGAAGAACAGGCCACGGGACGATGACGAAGCTGAGCTGGCTGCCATGGGGCAATGGGCCTCCTGATTTCTTCTCTTGTTCATATGCACTGGTTGATTCATCATTATTTCTTAAATAAATGTGCATAAATAATTTTAAAAACAATCAGTTTCTTAGTGCGTATTAAATGACATCAGCATTCTACCAAACAAATGATTGCAATTCTGTTAATGCATCCATATAATTTTTTGTAATGTTTCTCCATGTATTAGTTCCAAAACTTTAAAATTGGTCCTCAAAAGCATCCTTTAGAGAGACAAAAACACAAGATCATCTAACAGTAAGATTAAAATATTTTAAAATATTTCCTATTGTCGTTCAAGGAGCCGGTAAGGGTCTTCGGTTACAAATCAGTTTAATATTGAAGTAATCATATTACAGAATAAAGTAAATTCTATGAAAAATAGAAAGTCAAGGTATCCAGACGACATTTCTATGTATATAATGAAACTAGGAGGAGGATATTACCGTAAATAATTAGAATATTTTACTTATTTATGAACAATGTACCTGCAGATCGGAACTTAGCTTTTGTCGTACCAATTTTCAAAAGTGATGACAATGCTATATTAAGTAATTATAGACCGGTAAGTCTTATGTCAGTAGTCTGGAAAATTATAGAGCATCTAGTTGCGAGTTACATTAATCAAGAATAGGAAATCAAAAAATGGCTCTATGATGACCAATTGACGCTGGCGGGAGTGTAGGAGCAATAGTTATAGATTTTGCCAAAGCGTTCAATGTCGTTCCCCACGATCGCCTCGTACAGAAACTAATGAATTCAGGCATCGATTCCAGAGTGGTGGCGTGGATTAGCGAGTTTCTGCGGGACAAAAAACAGAAAGTCCTAATTGGGCAAGAGTTACCCTCCGGGGCAAGCGTTTCTTTTTCTTAAAGTAATGTAATGTTTTATGAATCAGCCAGTTTTATATCAGTATTATTATTATAATTATTATCATTATTATTATCATTATTATTATCATTATTATTATCATTATCATTATTAAATATAATTTGCATATAAGCATATTCATCTTATTTATGTAATTAGCTGCTACCGGGTTATGCCCATTTGCAGTTTATATCTCTTTATCTTTATCTTTAACTACGCATTTGTGAGTGTCTTTGGACGTCCACACAACTGAGGCCAATATCCTAATCCACATGTTGAAGGCGCGAGCAATGGAACTATATTGCTTAAGTTCGCAGGCACTGCTTCTAGAGCAACTCCCGAGAATTATAAAAATTATAGTGCAACAATGGGGAATGGCGGATGACGGATTTTAGAAATACGGATACATGGAAATATTAATTCCTATTTCCTCTACTAAAGCAAGAAAATTATTCATTTCACCGAACACTTTAATAATATTTAAAATTATAATTTCAATTTTACCGTAGAAATTAAATTTAGTGTAAAATTAAACAATTTGAATCAAAATGATCTCGATGTCGTAATGATCTTTATTTCGTCATCGGATTCGCTTCCGAGTATATGAACTGCTTACGTAGAAACAAAGTTGTTAAACAATCTGTCTGCCTGTAAGAGAGATAAAATTAATGTGAGAGGAGGTAGACAACATAATATCTTGATAGTTTATTACAAATTATTGCTATATACAATAAATAGCGTAATGTCTCAATAAAACGTTACCCAAAACGAAAACAGGTTAGGAATTTTCCATTCGAATATCGGTGTCCCTTGACAAAAACGAATACGCAAGTAAAACTTTTAAAAAGGAAATAAACAAAATATAAAATAATACGCATGCAGGTTTATCGGTAATATATGATGTACCGACAAAGCACCCAATTCTACCACACAATTTTAAAACAGCCATGCCTAACGTGAGATTCGAACCCGCAGCCTTAGAGCTCCTGCACACGAGCGTTTCGTTGACGCGCGTCACCTAACACTAATGACGTCATCTGCGTCATGATTGCGTATAGGAGTCACTTAACGCGCGTCAGAGATATACACTGTATCTTTAAGTGCAAAATGGCACACGACCGCTCTTGGCGACACGCGTTCTGACCACAGCTCAAACACAACGCTCAAGCTACAGCGAACGTCAAGATAACGCGCGCTTTCTCGCTTTCAACGCACGAAGCCCGCTAGGTGACGCACGGTGGCAACAATCACGTGGCCGATAGCGCGTGTGCCGATTCGCATACGACACACAGTTAATCTACGACGCGCTTTAAGTGATTCGTGTGGGAAGGCATCGGCGCAACCGATATCAGTGTTAGCTGACGCGCGTCAACGCAATGCTCGTGAACAGGGGCCCTTAAAGTTACTCAAAGTTGGGCGCATATGTCCCAAGCTTCTATCTCAACAGGCCGGCGAATATTAAAAACAAATATTTAGTTAATATTATTTTTTTTTAATATTTAGTACTGAATGTAACGTGTTTTATTGGTTTTAATGATTAATTGAAATATTTCTGAAATTTTCCACTTGATTGTTCTTCCAAGGAGACGTTTTGTGATTTTCTCATCATATATATTATTTCATACTGCTACAGTTTTTCTAGTTGTAAATTGAAATTATAATTTAACCCAGAAAATGCTATTTCTTTTCTTAGTAAAATAGACTGTAATAGGTCGGATTTTGTTTAGATGTGGTGAACCGTATTCAAAGTTTGTGAAATTAAAATTTTGAATTAAATAAAACAAGAAAACGTACACTGTTGAATAGCCTAACTTAACACAGCTAATCTAGTGATATATTTCACTTAACACTAAACACAAATCAATATAATCTACGTAAGTTACTGTTTACTCTTACCATTTATCCATAACTTTTAAAATTTATTCTACGACTCGGAAAACTTGTGGGGCACTTTTTGACCAGCGCAAACAGGTTTTTGGCAGTTTTAAGTCATAGGCAAGGGTATTTATGAAAATTAATGTATTATATTAATTGAATGCCACTTTTTTTACTAAATAGAAGAACATTTCTCACAATAATTGTAAGTAGTTTGTGTTAGATTGCACAGCTTACATTCAATCATGGTTGAATTAATCTGTCATGCCTCGCACAAATTACAAACAAATTAAATATGCAAACTCTGATGAATGGCATGATAGAAAAACAAAGCATAATATATCATTTAATTAACAATATTTAATTAAGAGGAGATACTAATTACTGACTTAATTTTTAATGTTGTAGAGTGGATTGCTACAAATAATGAATAAATTAAACAGAGAAAATATTAATTTCAAACCGTGTATGAGTAATTTCATATGCTGCATCATATGTTTCCTGTAACTAATAAAGTAACCACAAACCCATTGTTCTTCATTCATCAGGAGACAACTGTTGTACACATCATCTATTTAAATTTTTTGTATCTGACGTTGGGCTAAACCTAAATTATTATTTAATATTTTCTTTACGTTGGACAATGAAATTCAATTATTTTCTTGAAATGTTGGAAAAATATGAATTGTGTTAAAATATTGCAATTATTGAATAGAATTATCATTTGCCCTTTGTTTATTATCTGTTTTTTGCTATTAGAAACTCATAGTCATTTTATACTCAGAGTATTAGTCTACTAGCATTGTATATGATTAGACCTTACAAACTAAAAAAATGGGTAGACATTTTTTCGTTACGGAAAATAAATTCCAAATACCTACATTAAAAGTAAATAATATAATGAATGTTATGTTGTTTACATTGATTTATTTGTTAGCTGTGATCATACTTGAGCACAAAGCCGTCTACTACTGTAGATAATACAATAAACTCCGAGTCAATAGTTACATTTTTTGTGGCAGTGTGCCCGTGAATCATTTCCACCTGACCTCCTAAGCGCAATAATTGCCCCACTGCTGCCTTGCGAACCTGTTATTTCCACTTCAGGTAACCACTGCAAAGGTGGTGTTCGCAGATTGAGTCGGCCTGGAGTTACCTTTATAGAAGGATCAATTTTTGATTAAAAGGAATTACGATACTATAGTGCATCTTTTTCGTCTTATAACGCACTGAACGTCGGTATGCTATAACACTACGACGAAGTTAGCTTAAAGATGATGTTGTTATCTCTGTGAGAGTCTGACATAATGTTTCAATTTTATAGGGGAAGCATTGCATTGCAACGCTTATCTGCTCAGCTTATTACCCATATTATTTTTGGTTTCTTTATTGTGGTCATCGCCCCGCTCCGTCCGCGCTCTGCCCGCCGCCCCGACGCCGCCACCGCCCCGACGCCCGCCCGCCAGGCGACGCACACGCACGAACCGCACAGCACGCAGCTTCCTCTTGCTCTCCGCCCCACTCTCCCGCTCCCACTTTCCCGCGCTCACTTCTCCGCTCCACTTCTCTCCGCCTAGCTCTCTCCGCCCCCGCCCACTCCTCCCCGCTACACTCCTCGCTCCGCTTCCCCCGCCCCGCCCCGCCCTCCTGCCTCACTCCGCCGGCCCGCGCGCCAGGCCCGCCCGCCCCGCGCCCGCCGTCCGCCCATTCCTGCCCCTCACGCTCCGCCTCTCCTCTCCCGCCAACTCCTCGCTCCGCTTCCTCGCGCCCGCCCCGCCCGCCCCGCCCCGCCGCCCCGCCCCGCCCCGCCCGCCCGCCCGCCCCGCCCGCCCCGCCGCCGCCGCCTGTGTGAGCACCGCGCTGGTGTCGCCTGGGGCGCCGCAGCGCGCACCGGGACAGAGCGCTAATTGCACAGAAGGGAGCGGCAGCGCGGCCGGGGCCATGCGGTTGCACCACGCGCGCCCCGCGGGCAGCCCGGGGGTCGTGGCCACGCGCACGGCTCGACTCGGCCTGCGCGCTGCCTGCTGCACAACAGGGAAGTGACGGCCTTTTCACGCAGCACAGCAATCACTGAGGAGGTGCAACGGTCTAAAGGCCCTGGTCGGGATGTTCTTCACCACCAATGGTTTCAACTATTCATTATTCCGTCATTTGTTTAAGGTCGCATTAACAGCAAGAGCATTAGCGACCACTGTAGATTAAAGATAGGCGGGACGGGGCGAGCCGATGTCCACCCTACATAACTAGGTCAAATTTATCCGCTGTCTGGGGAATAATTCTAACAGCATGCTGATTTTATCGATAGTTTTCCGAGGATTCTCCGATCAACTGCAGGCGAATGCCGGAGCAGTATCGTACGAAATGGGTGCAGGACCGAGCGTGATCTTACCTTCCTCTCCCTTCTCCTACCCGCACCACATTCTAACACCGTTACTCCTATGTACTACAATATCTATGTACTCTTCAGGAGACTAGTTGGGAAATTAGCACTTGCACTGGCTCTGGAGGTGCCCTGCTGTTCGGAGATAGCTGGTTGGGGAAAACCC